CGATTTGAGGTCATGAATTAACATGTTCGCTCATCTTCAGTGACATTGTATACTGATTCGATAATATTTTGCTCGCCTTCTCTCTCCTCTGCCAGTTTGTGGATTCGTTGCAGATCTTCCATGATTGTAAACTTCTTTAAAGGAAAAGTTTAAATCCATTCTGTTTGTTGACATTCGTATGTTTTTTTTTCTTGAACAGTGAGCTGTATTACAGACAGACGGTCTGATACTTTCCAACATCAATGTACATTATTCCTCTATTTACTCTTGACAACAAATCCGTTTCCATAATGTTTGCATTCTGTCTCTAAACATATCAGCTGGTGTTTGTTTTTGCTGATGTTACTGTTCACATCAGGTCCAGTTTTTCATTTTCCGAATATTGTCTTTCTCTGTATGCAACATCTTAAATAAGTAGTTACTGCGTAGCAGTAACTGGAGCAGCCATTACATTCTCCGCATCGCAGAAATTGATACAGAAAACAAATGCTTCAGGGAAAAAAATAACAAAAAAATGTACCAATGAGTGTCGATAAATATTTAAAAAGCATTATTTAAATGACGAAAAAAAGTAAAATCAAAAGCGAAGAGAAATGAAGTAAAAGAATGGAAAAATTAGAAATTAATAAAGAATTAACAAGGGATCTGTCAGTCTTTGGGAGACTATGGACAATATGAAGAGGAAACTTGAAGCAACAAAAACGTGCTTCTACAAAAGAATGCTGAGGATACCATAGACCGAGCAACGGCGAAGTTTTAGAGAAAAATAGAAAAAAGGAAACTAATACTTAACATCAGGTAGAGACAGTTGAGGTTTCTATGAAATATAATGGGGAAAGAGGGCTCGGAAAATTTGATACTCACGAAACAGAGGGCAAGAAGGACAGAGGAAAGCAACGCATAATATACATAGCGAACTTGAGTAAATAGATGGCGAAACAGTGATAAGGAGAAATAACAGAAAGACAAAGTTTATTAATAGCTACAAGGGACAGAAAGTTGTAGTGAGCCATAATCGCCTACGTCCTGAGTGGACATGGCGCATAAAGAATACAAACTGTTATCCAAGCAGTAGCCCCCCCCCCACACACACGCACACACTTTCCCCGTCGCTGAAATGATCCAGCACACTCACTGGGTTGTCAGGACGTTACTGAATATAGCCGTGAAATACCTTAGAGACTCCGACTCGAAGCTTTTCTTATGGTTATTTTCAAGGCCGTGGGTATGGGGCAGCTAGTAAGTATCGAACTCACTTTTCAGTCGTAACTGATCTAGCGAGACAAGCTTGCTAACTATTACACCACGCCATTTTATTTTCTAAGCGTAGCTTAGATGTGGCACAAAGCCGAAAGTATGGGGCACCCAGTGAGGATCGAACTCACTACTCAGACAATCTTGCTAACCATTACACTACGCCGAGGTGCCCACGGAACTTTTCTAATGTGTGATCACAGTCGCAAGGCTATGGAGATTCTAAATTCAGATGTGTTCTTCTAGACTGGTTATCAACCAATGTTAGAGAAGCCATTCTGCCCTGCTATTTTAAGTGAAGGAGCCATAATTTTCTCAAGAGCATTTGTACAAATGTGAACGTGACGGCTTCGTCAATTCCACTATGGTACACGCACATCAACGAATGAAAAAATGCATTTACAAAAAATGGCAAAAAGAATGGTTAGAAGAATGTTATGAAGAAAATAAGTTGTGTGAAAAGCGAAAGAGAGAGAGAGAGAGAGAGAGAGAGAGAGAGAGAAAAAAAACAATCGGCATGAACATAAAACAAGATGAAGGTTAATTGTTCGGACAGACTTCGTTGGCCATTGACTCGAAAAATTTGAAAATACGATGAAAAGAATTGCAATTGTTTGCCAAATGGTTCTTATGTCAGACAATAGCTTTTAACGTCTCTGCCAAAGATGACTTTCCCGTTGTTTTCTAAAGAATAATACTGAAAACTACGCAAACACGACAGACAAAAACACATTTTCTTAGTCTCATACTAATTCATTTATTATTTTGTAGCCATATCTATTATATTTTATCAATTTGAACGTTTCAAAAATATAAATTAGAATCTTTCTTTGAATATTTCATATATTTGTGCTTTCTTTTAATATTGATTTTAATTTTAGAATTATTTTAAATATTTTATTAATGTTGAGTTTTTAATATTTGAAATATTTGAGCTTTTTAAAAATATTTTATTAATTTACATCCTTGCGCAAATTAATTGAAACAAAACGAAATATTCCGTTATTATTTACTTCTTTTTCAAATTTTTGAAACATGATCCAGAGCACATGTATATCCATTCCATGAAGTCGTTCCCTGCAGATTGATCACAGATTCTTGATTGGAATTAAATCAGGAGAGTTTCCGGGCCAATCTATAGTACTTTGATTTGCTTACTGAAAATGCTTGCCAGTGTGTTTGTGCAGCGTTACAATTTTCGTACGCTTCCTTGGAGTAACGTCCATCGCAGACAATGACCGAAGGACAACTAATCGACAGTTGAGACAATAGTGTCTGTGCATGATAAAAATTTAAATCAATCCCGGATGACGCAATATTTCTCAAGGCCAAACAAATTTTTTTACACACCTCGAAAATAGATTCATATTACTGCACACCACTGCAAATAACCTAATCTGAGGAAAAAAGAGAAATCAATTACACCCTGTCACTCCAGTGGGTCTAAAACTGATTGTATGGTGAAAGAAAGGAAACTAAAGTGGTTGTTTCAATTAATTTGCACAAGGTTGTACATATACTTATTTAGTCTCATACTAGTTCATATATTATTTTGTTGCCATATATATATATTTATAAAGGGTAGTATTATTAGCATATCCTTTTCTCCCCAAAAGCGTTTTATGATTATAATAATTTTCTTTAAGAGGCTATAAAAAAGAAAGAAACATATGAATCAACATTAATTGGGAAATCACGATAGTTCCTTGCAATATCTTTGTGTGGAACTGCGGAAGAGGCTTAGAAGAAAAACTACAAATAATTAGTTTAGACAATCAAAGCAAATTGTTAAATAATAAGATTGAAATTTTAAGAAAATGAAAACTTACTGATAATCGCCATCTTTGTTATTAAAAACATATAAAATTAATAAATTAGATAATGAGATTAATACATAAAATATAATAAAATTTAAATAGGAACTTATTTTCAAATATTCTTATCCATAAGAGTAAAAAGTAATTAAAATACAGTGAGTCCCCCGTATACGCGAATAGTTAGAATCCGTTAATATCTGTAACCTCACTAAAAGTGCTTATAAGTACCTATTTTGATTGTCAACCCCCATATGCCTTGAACTTTCATCTTAAACACTTTAGAAACATTTCAGACCCTTTTAAAAAAACTTTTGTAAAATATTATTAGTGGCTATACATTTAGCATAAATTTTCTTTCATACGTACAATAACAATTTTAATTACGCATAGGTCGATACAACCATTGAAAATACTGTATAAAATATGTGTAATAAGACTAAGAACAGAACTGTGATGATGCCCCAGACTTAGAATAAGCCATTTTTAAGACTCCAGTGGGTCTTCTAACAAAGAACAAAGCCCAAGCACTCTGCATGGTTTTGCGTTTATTTTTTTTACAATGAAGATGTACAATTCTGCCAATTTTTACTCTAAAAATGGACTGTTATATGTTTTAAGTCACTTAAATAACAGGGAAATAATACAAGAATATTTTAAATATGTTCTATCAAAAAATACGCGAATCGAGGGAGTTCTCAGTGAATAATTTGTACATATGTTCTTCAGAAAAACACGCGAATATTCGGGGTTTCAGCGAATAACAAGTACATATGTTCTAAAGAAAAATCCGCTATTGTGAAGCCGCGAATGCTAAAACACGAATAGGCGGGAATCAATGTAATTCAATTAAATAAATAAGAAAATAAATACCTGAAAAAATTAAAATAATTAAATAAGTTAATTAATCAAATAAATAATAAATATGAATAATTATTACGCTGGCGATGTGGGTAAAGTTCAAGCATTGTGATCTTTGCTATTTCGCATTACTACAAATTAGTCGAATGTAGTCGAAAAAAGTAAATAATGAAAAAAAATAGCCATTTTGCTGAAATAATACTTATTGATATTAATATAAATATCAGAAAATGATACAAACGCTATTCTCATGTTCATCTCTATGAGTAAGAAATTCAAGTTGACTTCGTATAATGACGAAAAGGAATTCTGAAAATGATTTAAGTGAATTGCTTATTTCGTAGGAAACATTGTATATGGTTACGTTCATGTGTACCGGGCATTCGAATTTGGAGAGGATTTCATTTCGCCGCAAAGGGCCGAGCAGGGTAAAGGCAGACATTATGTCAGTTTAAAAAAAAATTAAGATTTCTAAAATTTAAAACTTTAAAAAACAACACAATGACCTAAATAAGATACAGCTGGCAAACTTGAATGCATGTATATGTATACATTTTATGTATATGTATGCATATATGTCTCATAAACTATAGGTGATGAGTGAAAACAGATTTCATATCTAAAATCTACACCCCATAATTAGTTTAGAACACCTAGTTTTATGCTTGCCTAAATTTGTAAACCAATATTGCCTAAGGTCGAGACAGACACTAACCTATAATTTTTAACAGAATATTAATCACTGGAACTGCTACGGGAATATGCAACTCTCTCAACCAGTGAGTAGATTCGTTTCTTGTCCCACAAGCATACCATCATGACGATTATAAAGACATTTTTTTTCTTCATTCAAGTGCAACGGTAAAACTCGCTTTTATAATCTAAAATCCCAAACTTGTCTTTCAGCTTAGTTCAAATAACGTCTATGTATTTAATCTGGCCTCTGCAGCTTTTCTCTGATCAGATTAGCCGCTTGGACGGCCTATTTGATATAATGAGTAACAATTCAGCAATATATTTGTGAACCACTTATTATACGCCTACCATATATGTTTAAGTATCAAACATTAAATGCCAACTCAAGTGTCGTCGCGAATTGTTGATCTTAATTTAGTCCGATTAAAAGAAGATCTTACACAGCTCTCTCTCTCTCTCTCTCTCTCTCTCCCGGTATCTAAAGTATATTTCTCTTCCTGTCTGCCCCCGATATCTATCTATCTATCTATCTATCTATCTATCTATCTGTTCTAAATATAAGATCGATCAGTTAAATGACAAATCTTATAATAGTATTGATCCTATCTATCTATCTATCTATCTATCTATCTATCTATCTATCTATCTATCTATCTATCTATATCTATATCTATATATATATATATATATATATATATATATATATAGTATATGTAAATAAAAAAAAAGAACAGTAAGATATATAATCTGGTGTTCTTATAGATATTTTTATTTTTACAAAATAGTGCTCAGTGAAAATTTTCAGAGCATTAATATTATAAATTAATTGATTTAAAATATGTTTTTTTCTGCTACACAGTTCTAACCATGTTTCAAAAATGGGAGCTGAAAGCTTCGAATTTAATTTTGTAATTAAATTAAAGACATTAGTTCCATTTCATCCTCAAGCGAATTTTGGTTTCTTTGTATTTTCCTATACAGTAATATTAACATCAACCGGCCTTCAAACATCGTTTTGTAATGAAAGTTTCCAGTAGTCAAATTGCTAACAAAAAAAAAAATGGTTCCCATGATGGAAAAAAAGGGATAGAAATTCGTTTCATGTCGGGAGGCAAGTTTTTCTTTCAGTTACTTGATCTAAACCCAGTCCTGGGTATGACGATAAACTACATCCGGCAGTAAAGCCAGTGATTGGGAGATTGGCGATTTTGAGGGGTGTGGAACCACCTCCTAATTGCAATTGTTCCCAGGTTAACCCTGACTAGGGATGGTAGCAAATGTTAGGGTCACAGCTATGGGAAAATATGGAACCCCAAACAAAACACTATGAAAGTATAAAAATACATTTTTATACGAAAAAATACCAGCAACACCTTTTATGTAAAAGAAAAAAAATGTCAACAATACATTTTGAAAGCAATATGACCAGGAATATAATTTATGTGTAGTTGAAGACATACAACTGCATTCAAAATATATTTCGTTGAAATCATAAAATTGTCAAATTATTTACATTTCGGGTTTGAATGACCCATGGAGATTGGTTTGCCTCTGAATGAAATCAACCAAACAACCAACACGAAAGAACTCTTTTATGGCATTAATCCATATAATATCCGACAATTTCTTAAAGAACTCAAACTGTATTCTAAAATATAACTTCTACAAAACTACAACATATAAACATACATAACACCACCACTAGTATATATGTCCACACAAACGTATATATGCTAAGACTAGCAGCATGGCCCGGCATTGCCCGTGCTTGATTAAAAAATCGTACAGCAATCGCTATCATTTGACTTAAAATATTTTTGTCCTTCATTGCCTTTAAAGGAGTGCCCTTTTCCGTGCTGATGTTGCTACATGCCTTACTTCTTGCCTATCTCACACTGCAAATTTTTTCTAAGCTCTACACTAAACATTAAACCTGTTACGAAAAAAGAACTAAACAAAAATGAACACAAAACGATCAGCTTTTAAAAAAAGGACTCGTAACTGGAAAAACCGAATAAAAAAAAAAGAATATTAACAAAAAATACTTTTTCATACCCAACCCAGTTCTGCGGAATCAGAATCAACGTTGAGTTTAAGTAAGCGAATGAACCAATTGGATTAAAGTGCTATGCAGATTTAAATTTTTCCCACTTGTGACGAATGCAGATATCGATTTTTGTTTGCATGCTAGCATGCTAGTTAACATTCGTGTTATTCAGCTGTTGGCTCTCACGCTGACCAATAGAATCTTCCTGCCTATTCGTGGCAGCCAGCTATAGGATCTCACTCTGGCCAGTACAAAATGGCCGTAAACTACATGAAAACTGCTGTAGAAGCATGAAAAATCGATTATTTCCACTATCGATGGGAGTTGGGAAATGCAAAGTCGATCTTCGCCTTCCCGCTAACTTGGAGCATGTGCATGTAAATTTTGGTGCAAATCCGTCGAAAATTGCGGCCGTGCATTCGTTACACACACACACACACACACACACACACACACACACACACACACACACACATCCTGCCTTTTATAGAGTATCATTTACCATGTATTCAATTGTGAAAGCAGAAAACATATTTTTATATTTATTATTATTATTTTATATATTTTTATTACTTCAAAGATTCCAAGAAAATTAAATGAAGTTGATATGCCGTTAAACAAATTATATTCCCTATATTATTCGATCTAGGCGGGTTGTTATTATTTTGACTGTTTAAGAAAATGTCGAAAATGAATTTGACTGAAAAGACCAGCGTGGAGGTAGTTGGTGAATACCCGGTTTGCAAAAGAAAATATCCTTCTTTTATGAAGCTCTCCGCTAGGGGGTCATGTAGCCACAGTAATAACAGACAAGAACGATAACAACAACTTGTTTCGTTGTCAGCAAAAAAAAAAAAAAACTCTCGAGCATGAGGTTCAGGGATTTTTATAACATACCTCTGCCTTCAATTCTTCCGCCAATCCAAATGGAAGGATAGTAAAGCGGAGGAAAATAAGGCGTTCGTGCCTTAGGACTCCCCGTCGACATCGCCTCTCCACTCAAGTAAGTCTCTTCTTCATTATTTCCAACAAAAATAAAAAAGAAACGGATATGTCAACTTAAACACGTGTACGTACTAAAAATAACTTTTATAATCATAAAAAAAAGTTCAGATTAAAATTTCCATTAAAAATATAAGTAAAGAATTATATATAAGGGTGTTTCATTAAGACGGATCAAAGTCAGCAGTAAATAAATCAGTGTTATTGGTGAAAATTTATTTATTTCTCTATTGGATCATGTTATTACGTCATGGCAATTATGTGTGAAAATAATATTAATAATAATAAATATCCGCTAAATCTGAAAGAAAAAAAAAAAAAAAATCATTAGACGCTTAAACTTAATTCACATTTAAAATCGGTCCAAGTCATTGAAACATCCTTTATATCTGAAAAGAAGTTAATACTGATTTTATTACGAAACAATATCTAGCTTAATAAAATTCAATAAAAACTATAGGGAAAATAGGATATTTTTTGGAGAATAAAAGATAAGACAAAATGTTTCAGATGATATCCGAGGAAGAACTTTGTCGAGACATCATAGCCAACGGCAAATTATGTGGCGTGAAGTAAAAACCTCATCGCACAAACATGGCGGAAGGTCTCTGAAGCTGGGTTGAGAAAGCCTAATGATTATTATCGGTTTTCGTTACTGTTGAAATCGTCGTCTTCTTTGTTGTCAAATTTTCGGTTTGGTGTCTCATTAAAAACAGGAAATTGTTTTGGCTTGTTTTTGAATATTCTAAAAGTCGCCGTTTTTGTTTGGCTAAAAACAAGAGTGTTTAAATGCTTAATCGCATTGAGTTACGCTTTACGTCGAGTCCGTCTATGTTAAACATAGACGCTTTTGTTCCATTTGTAAATAGACAATGATGAACAATGCACATGGGATGCTGCGTTATCTTTGGATAGAAAATTTCGTTAGTCAACCAATTCCACATATTTGGTACACGATTAGAAAAACGGGAATTTTGTAAACAGCAAAGATGTTTTCATTTCAACTTTTACAAAATAAAAATGAAACGCTCAGGAGGTTGGAGACTTTTTTTTTTGACCTCACTTTAAATATGTGAATAGAGAAACTGTCGTTATCATTTTACATTCACTAAGTTTTCACAAAATTAATATTTGCTGTCTATTGTTGGTGATCAAATTTAGAGCAAATGTCATGAATATTCGCAGATATATTCTTGATGTTCGGATTTAATAAACCTGAAAAGCGGAATATACGAGATACGAATTGAAGAAGTAAAAACGAGTAGAGAATTTTAAATATCTGGGAGCGTTTTGATAGCAGGAGCCCATGTATAATCAACCTTTACATCCAATAAGCCATAAGGATATCAGTGGTGTGTTCTTAAAGATTTTACAATCAATGTTAGATAGTTTCGAAATTTCATTAGAATGGAGGGTTCTTCATAATTCAGTATTTCATTTCCGAGATGAAATACAACTGGTATCTCGGGAAAATATAACAAAAATAATCTACAGATATCCCATATCAGCCAAACAACAACTGATAATGAGCAGATGATACTTGGTCGAAACGTTGTGCATATTATAGCATCTATATCAACCAAGAATAGAATACTAGATTGAAATAAGAATAAAGTATATTGACAATTTCTCATCTCAGCAAAGGCAGAGCTACATTCCAAACTCGAGAGTCATCATCGACATTCCGATAGATTTACTTTCTTGGCAACCGGATTGTTTTTATTTAGCTCGAATAGATATTCTGTTTGAATTTCAAAATCTCACAAAGTTTACATTACTCATTCTCTAGAAAGATTTCTGCATTTTTGCTGATATTGTTCTGCTTAACAAAATCATTTTCCTTTGACCAGTTCCCAGAGTATTGCTGCCCCAACCCTATCATGTCTACTTTCTACTTGACATCATTATTTATAGTCACTTTTTACATGACTAGCGGTTGCTTGTCACGTGGCGGTGTTTTAATCTATCTATCTATCTATCTATCTATCTATCTATCTATCTATCTATCTATCTATCTATCTCTCTACACACACACACACACACACACACATATATATATATATATATATATATATATATAGTTTATGAAAAACTAGGTAATCCGTATGGGTAAACCTAAGGAGGATAAAATCCAGAGAGCTCAATGTAAATCCAGAGCAAATAATTTAAACTGGAACCTTAAAGTAGTCTGTTTTTATTTAATATATATATATATATATATATATATATATATATATATATATATATATATATATATATGGGGATGTTTTGGTGTGGTTTTGTGTGTGTGAAATTAAAATATAAATAAGATGTATCAGTAAAATGACAATATAAATAAATACGAAAGAATTGGTTTTTTTATCGACGCGTTTTGTCCTCTGAAGGACGTTATCAAGGCAAATGTAAGGATTTTATTTTGCAATATCTATTTATAAATGTTTTAAAATGAAATCCTTATATTTTCCTCGATAAAGTCCAACAGTGGACAAAACGCGTTGGTAAAGGAAAACTTTCTTTTGCCGACGCGTCTCGTTTTCTGATTAACTTTATCAAAGAAAAATGTAAGGATTTTATTTTGCAACATGGATTATTAAGGTTTTTATCCCTAATTATCCCTAATTATCCCTAATTATCCCTAATTATCCTTATACTTTGCTCTGTACCATACATTGAGGTCTCAATTGGATTGAAAATATACATGGTGCGGCAGAAATACCGCCCAAATGATGGTAAAACATTAGTGATAATGGTGTTTCATTTAGCTAATATCTTACCATTATGAGGGAGGTATTTCTTGGTGGTATATGTGAGGGGTGTTTCTGCTGTACCCTAAAACATCTAACTTAATTATTACCAACAACACCGAGCTTCATAAATGCCCACCTCCTTTAAAAATGATGGTGTCTATGAATTGTCATGGCCTCTGGGAGATTGCATTTCTAAAGTTGATAATCAAAAAGACAACATTAAATACTTACATTGGGAACACATGCATCACACTATCTCGCTGAGTGACCTGTCACCTATCGAAACTAAGTGCAATCCGTGCGCATATCGATCAGTACATCATGAACAACCAAAATGTAGATATAAACATACGACAAATACTAGTAGATAACACCAAAATACTCTATTGCACCCAAAGCAAAGAAAGACTCGAAATTCTAGAAGATATTATTATACAAAAGAAGTAGCCCACATTGAATAAAATACCATTCAACACAGGAGATAGCATCTTTAAGTGCATATGATATAATTAGTGTGAGCATATTTCATATTAGTATTATAAATAATAAAATAATACATAAATAAAATAAATAAATTTTATATAATTGTTATGGTCCGGTTCCTTGTACCACGGTGATAGTCCAAGGTAGAACCAATAAAGAAGAACTCGAACACGGATATGGAATAATACAGATATATTACAAACAGGAATATATACAGAGAAGTAGAAAGTGTTAGTACGAACAATCAGGTTTAGTAGTAATTGTTTGAACGCGACTCTGTTTCGGACTGCCTCTGAATCGACAGACTGATTCGCTCGCTCTGAATGACTGACAGACTCCAGACGGACTTCTCACGGACCTCACTCCAGACTGAACAGTATTTAGTCACCCTCCACGAGAGCATCATGTGGCACAAGGCCGGTTTAACGTGGGATCTCCGAACCCGTGGGCTCGGCCAAAAATATGCCCTTTGAACACGTATAAACGGGTTCAGGGTCGGTTTACCTCCCCGAAAGAGACTCCGCCCTTCGGCGTAGACTCGTTCGGGTTCCTCCCTGCCCGAGGACAGTGAGTTCAACCGATCATCCAGTCAGCCAGTCGCCCGACTTCCCCTTGAGGCGCAGTATTTATTACGTATGGAATAGTCCATTATGTTATTATGGGTAAGGTCCCATAACAATAATAAATGCGTTTTCAATTAAAGGGGCATAACCCTCTAACTTTCAATAGCTCATGTTATGGAAAATTTGGATCCCCTAGTCTTCATTACTGCGATTGTTTTCGGTGATTTTTAACGTGATTTTTTGCAACGATTTTTTTTGTAGGATAATGATTTACATAAGTTGGAAGTAAATTTGGGATTCATCAAAAAAAATTGCGAAATCCAGTAAAAGTCACTCACGAAATAAAAAATATTTACCTGTACAGAAATTAGGGATCTACATACATCGAAGAGTATTTAAATTAAGTGACGGAAGAAAAATTATCGTTGAAATTTTAAAAGGTAAGCTGAAATATTAATGCAATACTTAAATGCAGCAAAAAATTTTGAGTTCTTCTGTAGTTTATTGTTGCCTATCGCATACAGCAGCATTATGCATCACATAAAGTAATCTCTGTCAAAAGAAATCCAGATTGCAATCAAAAGTGACAAGGTTACAGCGAGAAAAAGAAAGTCTCGTGCAAATGAAATCCCAGATCAAACGGCAGCCAGGAGAGCATCACATGCTGAGAATATGCAAAGAATTAGGGACTCTCCAACTCCTGAACAGGCCGAAGGCACAATCAATAACCCTCTACGGGAGCTAGCATAAATGTCGCTCGATACCCTAAATGGTATAGCACGTCAGGCTATAGGTGCTATAGCACGTGTAGGATACAGGTTCGATTCCTATTGGAGGACACAAATTCTTCTTTGAGATTTATCGGACATTCAGGACGGTACATGTATAAAAAGCCCATTATTTACATTATTCCGACTATTGTCCTCATCTTTGTCGCCATATTTATCACAACGTTTCGGCCGTTGTACGCTCCGGCCTTCTTCAGGTTCGAACTGAACCCTTTATTTCGCTCACTTTCGGTAGACTGTTCTAGTTCCACGTGCCATGTTTGATGGATGTCAGTTATCAGTTATCTCCTGCTAATTTTCCCTCTGAAAGTTCTCCGCCGCTTTAACCGGGTATTGAACTCACAACTCTTTGGGTCCTGTCACTGGATCTAACCAACGCCTTTATCCACTGTGCCATGTGACCTTGAGGACATCTGGGTATTATAAACCTAATGTCTTCAGCAACCGTTTTTACCAGTGCTCATATTGCAATTTTGCTGTTATCATTACATGTTTTTACCAGAGCTCATATTGCAACTAAAAAAAAGCAGTTAGCCATATAAAAAATAACAACACACCTGCAAAATCAAATCTGCCAGGAACCAACATTATTTACGAGTTCAAATGCCCCTTAAGGAACAGTGTTCCTGATCAAACCAAAATCATAAACAATTACATTGGTCACACTGCTACAAATATATCCCAACCAATTGCGTTAGAACATTCGATTTCTTACCCTGAGACTCTGGATGTTATCGGTCTAGCTGATTCTAGCGTACGGCACATTTGGAAACTATAGCACCGATCCCCTGTGAGTGAAATTGGGTTGACGAGTGTGCTAGCACGAAGTCACAAGACCGAGAGTTTGACTCTTGGTGACGCTAGAGAAAGGGCGCTCTCTCCCAGAAACTGCATTACAAACCACGGGTGGGCTCTGTGGGTGCTGAACAAACAAAAAATAAAATGAGCAGGCATCTGCAACAGGGATTGGCGCACCGCCTTAATGAACAAGCATCCTCGGATACGAGTAACCAGACATTATATATATATATATATATATATATATATATATATATATATATATATATATATATTTGTATCTGTGCAGAACATATATATATCCGGGTAAGATGAGAATGAATAGAGTACGATTCCAACGTTCGTAACATTTAATTTAAAAGAGGGCTCAATACAAAGTAGAGCAATATCCTTATATATATATATATATATAAATATATGTGTGTGTGTGTGTGTGTGTGGAGGGGGCAGGACATTATAAAGGTTTCATTGATGATGTCTGGCAAGGAAGTGTGATTTTTATTATATTTTTCTAGCATTGATACAAGAGATTTCCTTTTTGAACATAGAGCGTGTAAGAACTGCCCAAATGATCTTTGGATCCGAGAGTTTTCGGCTAATCTATTAACCTTCATCAGGGATGTTTTTGTTTCTCTGAATACGAAGATTTTTTTTTCTTATCGGATTATCCGCAAATGTCCCTAAAGCCTAGTCACTTTCTCGTCAGTGTTTTCAAAATTCATCCAAACTGACGTCCCACAACGATACTTGGTAATCATTTCCGCTCCTTGTTGAAGAAGAAAAGAAAAAAAATTAGGTTTTCTCTGATTATATTAATAAGGACAAGGCATGTTTTTCTCACCTTATCTTACACCGTTTATTACAATACCTGGCCTTTGAAACTGCGATATTAGTATTTTCTTTATTACTAGCCGAATTACCCGCGTCTTGCTGCTTGTCACACATTTTTTTGTAAGAAAATGATTGATTTTAAATCATTTTTATAATTTGTGGAGAAAAATGATGCAGATCAATATCATTTAATGACCGATGTGACCTCCATCTTCTGGCTTTCTCCTTCTATATTTTGGTTTGGAGTCATTCCCTTGTTCAAATTTAGATTTAATTTAAATCAAAGGGTAATGGCGTCGCTGCATGTGAGTTCGAATCTCAGCTTCGTTTGTTGTTAGTTTGCTTTCGATTATCTCTTTGAAAATGTAGTAATTAAAAAGAAAAATTAATGTTTCAAAAGGCAAAAACAAATAACCGGGACGAATGTGCTGGGTGAATTTGGCGATGATCTGCTTATCAAATGTTCGTTCCTACTCCTTCTTTGTCGATAACCTAATTCATTTTTTTTTTTATTTTGATTGTTTGAGAATACAGTGATTAATATGATTCGTAATTTTTGATTATGATGATTTATACAAATTCAGTAGGGGAGGCTTGTGCAAAAACAGCTTGACATGAACCCTTTGATATGTATTTGATCCAATATTTGATTGAATGAATTGATAAGCAGATTTCAATATTGATAGCACAGTTATATTGTCGCAAGAAATATGTATCGTAAGGCGTTATCAACTGATTGGTGGTTTCTTGATCAAATTGACGTCCATAGTGTCTCATTTTGATCTTGCCGATGTGACCTCCATCTTTTGGCTTTCTCCTTCTATATTTTGGATACGAGTAATTGCCTTGATCAAAATTGAATTTAATTTAA